AGCGGGATTGGTCCAATCAGAGGCAGTTCTTCCATTAGTCCCCAGCCAATAAATGATACCTGTGAAAAAAAGAGGATGTCCACAAGGTTTTATGAACTGAGTATTTGAAAAAATTATAAATAGAACAAGATGCTGCACGAATTGCAAAAAGACACGATAGAAAACAAGAAAAGAAAGTATCATTTTTATAAAAAATAACGTTTTATTTGATTGACAAAAATGGTGTGATTTCCATTTAAAATCGCAAGAGATGTGACAGAATACATGTGTATTCAAACAAAACGAGAATGAAAGCACAGCAAAATTGGCGATTCAAACTATCCAAGCCACATACCTTGTTCATCAAAATCGCTGGTATAGATCAGTCTAACCCTGTCACCAGTTTTCTTCGCTTCCTCGATAGTTTTGACGAAACTCAAGTTACAGCGTTCTCGATCGAACCTGAAGTCAACATATGTCTCTTTAAATTGAGTGTACAAGTGATTTTTGAAATCGATTTTCTTCCATAATGGATCTTCTAGCCTGCTATGTTGACTTAGTCGATTATGGGATGAAGCGCCACTATCCTACTTTTGCCGAAAAGTGTCAACAAGAAATGTTAATTTTCAGCAATTTTATGAGAGTAGAACATTGATGATTGCCAATTCAGCAGAAAATGATTATATGTTTCTTTACATTGCAAAATTTCGGATGATGACATTTGCCTTTTCGCCAAAGCATTCTCTTCTGCAAAACAGTATTGAAGGTTAAATGAAAAAATATTATGTTAAAGACAGAATAGTAATGCAGAAATTTTGGACCAAATTTTTTAATCAACAGATAATTACTGAAAAAACATCAACGGATATATGCAAAATTTGGGCGTACCACTGTTTAGCGACCATCTTCAAGAGGAATGACTTCAGCTGACCAATAGTTGTGAGCGGTTCACTCTTCAAAAGCCGTCCACTTCTGCAAGAAAACGTTCGGTTTAGCGAGGAGAGATGAGATGACCAGAAAAATCTTAGGGAAAAGATGTCTAAGGAAATGTGCTATTTGTATATAAGTAAATGTGAGATAACATGTTTGGGTGATTTCGACGATTTTTATGCTGTTCCGAGTTTCTTTAAGTACTAGTTCAAAACTACTTTCATTGCTGACTGAGCTTAAAATTGTCAAACATGATCCCACCTATTTATCAGCTGCTTCTTGTCGTCGTGCTCGCTTATAGCTTGCTCAAGCTTCATTCGAATTCGTCGTGACAAAAGCTGTAGTCCAAAAGCAGATCCACCCGGAGTATCGTAGAGGTACTGCGGGAACTTTTCGGTAGACTCGAGTACGGAGACCATCTTTGATGCAAGGCTGGGAAGAGCTGTACCATGTGCAAAGGTCTATAAAAAAAAGTTGACAGATAACAAAAGTAAAAAGGCTACGCCCATCGTACTTCGCCAAATATACGCGCTGGATAGCTTCCAGGCTGTCGCTCAACCAAGGCTAACAAATTATGCAGAGCAGGAACTATTCCAGAGACAGAGAACTCAAACGTTGACAGACGTCTATCATCCACAACTGATTCACGAACGCATTTCAGAGCAGAGACAAGCTATAATTATAGAATGAATTGAAACTCTGTTTAAAAACTTAACAAGCCTTGTTTGTTAGCACATACCTCCTGCACTTTCTCAATGCGCGGCTGCTTCACATGCTTGCTTTTTATAGAGATGCCAGCAATAAGATTAGCTGTCGTCACTGCGTCCTGACGAGAAAATCACAATAAACATTTTAACCTTGTTAAAATAGGACTTTAAACTCAACTACTTACGCCCATTACCAAAAGTCC